AACAATCGACTATACCATAATTTCCTTGATAATGGCAAATTCAGGGAAAAATGGATTTCCGGGGAGAGGAAGTTAGCTTAAAGCTGATCCTTAACTTCTGAATACAATATTATAACGTGTTTTAAAATGAAAAATGTTTGTTTTGAGATGCCTCGCCTTTTTCGCACCATTGGCTATCCGCTGCAGCTTAAGCCTTCTACTATGCAAACCATTGGTGCAGCGCATACCATGCCACATCTTCTTGGAGCTATTACTTGGCTAATTGATTTGATTCAAGTAAGTTATTCTTGTGTGATTAGCTCAATTTATTTAGACCACGCTGATAAAACCAAATCAAACATCGACTTGCCGATATCAAAAACAGTCTGGATTGTGATAGTCAAAAACCGTAATTTATTTCCGGCTGTTCTTGCTATAACGAATATTTGTCTTCTATTACGATAATGAAGTCGTTAAAACGATCTTGTGCTTTGCAGTTGATTCTGGTTAAATCATCTCACATATATCAGAATTCCAGAATGTTACTTCAGGACAATTGTGTTTGAATAGCGAAATCTTTATTTTTTCTTGAATATTGTGCAAACTTAAAAATTAGACTTCTGTTTGTAGATGATTGGGGAAATATCACCACAAGATTTACTCCTTGCGAATGAAGAAGGCGATGGTCAGAGAAGATCGGTGGGTCTTAAATATCCTTATCTACTTCTGGATAAGTGACAAATTGCATAACTTTATAATTCATATTTCAACATCAGTTTATTTTAATATTCCTTTATTTGTTTTCACTAATATGTGATAATTACTCTGCCTGGTTTATGAATATTTTAACTTATTTCGATTCACTGTGATTATGTCTTATTATGCTAGAAATTTTGGAATTTTATTTCCGTGATAGTAAAAATTCCAGCACAGAAAAATTGGCTGGGTTCATTTCCTTTATTTTATTATTAGGTATGTCTAAAAAGTTAGGTTTTCTATTATTTGAATCTAAAAACTATTAAAACTATTTCGAGAAAGCCTTTACATAACAGTCTGTTTGCAAAGCTATGGAAGTCATTTGTTTGTTTAGTTGGCTTACGGCTACATGGTTCGATGTTATAAGAAATACTGCAGTAATCCACTGCTGGGATTCACTATGGACAATTACAAAGATGAGAATAATGTCCTCCTTCAACTTGTTGGTTGGTCTGAACGAATTAACTTTAACTTTGTCATAACCTACAGCTGACAATTGCTTGTATAATCTCGTTGTTCGGGATGAATGATCCCAACTAGTGGGCGGACGTTTGTTACAGCTGGAGCTATCGAAGTCCTAAAATGAAAAGTCTGTAGACATTTCAAGTTTTGAATCTCAAGAACTTTGAAGTCTCATTATATAGACTTCGGAATTATATAAACTTCGGAATATTTTTTGAACTGAAGCATTTAGTTTATGAAATTCATTATGAATTTCAGAAGAAAGAGAAGATATTGCGTCACAGGAAGCTGAATTAGATGCACAAATTGTCACATTAACAGAAGAAATTGCAGAGCTCCACAAGGATAAAGTGTATTTTTATTCCATTGCTCTATGTTTGCTTCTGTTAGATATCTCTTGTCGAGCTTATTCAACTCTTCCAGAAATTTCGTCTGCATGTGTTATATTATGTCATTTTTCCTATTTCGAATCATCTTTTCGAAACTTTTGTTTTAATATAGCTTTATCATTACTGTTAATAAATTTAGAAATTTAAAATTAAACTTTCCGGACCTATTAATAGATTTAGTGTATTTTAGGGAGAGGTTGGTAAGCTTCAAACGAGCACTAAAGTGCTGGAAGAGGATTTAGAAAAGATGCATATGTTTAAGGATGAACAGCAGGAAACACTTGCTGAAGAAAAAAAGAAAAAAGTTGGTTTTTATCTTTCTTATGAAGTATTCTTATTTTCTATGTGTATTAACTTTATCATTGATTTTTTTAAATAGTTTGAAGATAATGTATGTATTTCTGATAGTGTTTAATTGCTTGTGGTTTAAATGTGCAACTATACTGCAGGAAAGCTTGGAAGATAAAATTCAACAGTACAATGTAATGATTGCTAGTCTTAAAGAAAAGCTTTCTGCGAAAGAGAAGCAGTTAGCAACGCAGTCAATGACCGGTGAAGAAGCAAGAGCTCTTCGTGTTAGGAAAGAAGAGGTCAGTTTCGTTACACTTTTATATATAAAGGGTGAAAGTATCTTGAAATAGTTTGAAAGTTATTGCTTAATACTAGTAGTGTCTATCCATAATACTACGGACAATAAGCGAATGTGAATATAGATCCTATGTAACAAAAGAAGTGAGTCACAGTGGCAGATATTGGATAACTATTCGGAATTGGTAATTTTTTTCCGGTTTTTATTTAATGAAGGGAAAACTTCAGTTGAAAGTTCGAATTGAAATAGCAAATAAGGAGCGACAAAATATTGAGCTCGAAAATGACCGAATTCTTTCGGTCAATTTTAAAGAAGCTTCTCAGGTTTATTCATAATTTTTTTTTCCTTTTTTGTGAAGGCTATCTGTATTGTATTGTCAGATATGACAAAATTATTTGTAGGTAGAATTTTGAGGGAAAAATCAACACATATTGACTTATATATATATATATATATTGCTAGTGCCTACAGGGATAGAGATTTCATTTAGCTGGTATGATATCGCGGTGGTTGACTGAAAATTTCCTCTGACGTCCTTGTTGATGATCATATGAAATTTTAAGAAATATTTGCCGCAAAAACCTGAGTTTATTGAATGATTATTAAGTATTACAGTTACGTGAACGTTATCGAGTATTTGTCAGAACCTTCGAGGATGTAAGCAGAATGGTGTTTGGGGCATATGATCCGTTCATTGATATACTGGATCAAAATTCTCCGAATGAACCCCATTTTGTGGAATATCTTAATAAAATTGAAGTAGTCAATGTTTATATATTTCTTTTGTGCCTGATAGCTGTATTAAATTAATAAAATTATCGACAGCATATTTTTTGTTAAAAGTTAAGGATACAAAAATAATCAAAAATTTTTTCTTATATTTTACCTTTGCCAGAGCAATATTAACAGAAAAAAGGAAATGTTAATAACAGCTTTGTTAAATTGTTAAATTAAGTTCAGGGATAATGTTGAAGTGTTCATATTGCTTTTTGATTTCTTTGCTGCACTGGCAATAGTATGCTATTGATAAATCATAAAAGAAATGGACTACTGCAACGAATAAAATATTCTAAGTTATTTCCAGGAGAAGTTGGATGAACTTAGCAACGAAATTAACAGTTGTATTAAGAATACGGAAGAGAAACTAATAACCGTAAACCAGGATGTGACTGAGCTAAGACAAAAGCAAGCATTTTCAATAGAAAATTTGAAGTGTAGTCAGCGACAAATTTCAAAAATGGTATGTTTTTATTTTTTTTTTAATATTTGTAATGTAATTACGCGAAAAGCATTAGACCGAAATCATGATAATTTTTTAGTCGCACGATTTTACGCTCAAGCGTGAGGATTGGGAAGAAGAACGTCAAAAGACGTCGTTGGAAGTAGATGTGGCACAGAGTGAGCTTGATAGCTTGCATGCTCTCCGCAATGGAAAAGTAAAAATTTATCTGCTCGATTTTATTGTTTCAGTTTACACGGAAATCAAATTGCCATTCTTCCATTACTGTTTTTTTTTTGAATTATCTCCCTGTGAAATGGCATATGCCATAGTGTTATAAAATAATTAATAGTGAACTGAAATCACACGAGCAATTTCAGCTTTCCGTGCATGAACAGCTTGCGGAAGTACGAAAAACTCTGCAATCTCGACAGATCGAATTTAATGAAGCAAAGAAGAAAATTGTGAATGAAGTGGCGGTGAAGTTTTCGATTTTAGTGGAACAGTGGGAAAATCTTAAGGTCAATATGCACGTTGCTTTCTTTTCCCAATAGTTTTACTTTCCAAAAATTTTCTGGTTGTCGCATCTATATAATACAATCCAGTCGTTTTTTTTTTTGATTTCGCGATATCGAATTGATTCTCGCTATATTGCAGAAATGCCAACTTCAGTTACGTGAAGACGAAAAGCTGTTACGAGAAGCTTTAAATAATTTCACTGATGATGGCAATTAATGTGAGATTAGAAACCATAATGGTCTGACTTGTAATGATATTTAATTACCGAGTATAGTTTCCATGAATACCACTTTGTTTTAATGAATTATTTTATTCCTACAGTTTCTTTTCTGAATTATTAGAACATCTGATGTTTTAATGAACAGTCTCGAAGTAAACATAAGTATAACATCGAATCAAATAATCTACAGTAATTAAGAATACTATAAGACTTTATCCTCAATCTTAAAAAATTGTTTACTTGATTGTGCTCTTTTTTAGTTCGAAACAGAAATTTATGATTGAAAAACTATTAAGAACATTATTTTTTATTTTTTTAGAGTATGACTTGTCAACTTTTTTTAGAATCTCAATGAAAGCATAACGCTTATGTTAGTTGTTATATAGGTTGCTTCACATATCTACGATTTCGAAGTCATTCGAAAACCACTACTATTTACAATAATCTTATTTATTCATTTCATTGAGCACTTATAAATAGTTTTAAATTCCGAATCACCACAATATGAAAACAATGGAAATTACCAGCAGACAAAAGAGACAAAATCTTTGCGAACAAAACAGAACAAAATGGAACAAGACAACGAAACAAGGACAAAAAAAATATGACAAAAAGAAATTAATAAAAATAAAGTGCTTACAATACTATTGTTGAAAATCAGCGCTGGTAGAATTCCATATGAAGTCATCTAATTTATCATGTCTTCTATTTATAATCGTTCTGAAGAGCTCACTAGCAAAAGTTAGCAGTTAGTGTCACAGATAACTACGAAAAATCCGAGTACTAAGAGATATGAATTTTTCATACTTTGCTATATACATCAAAACAATGCTCTGAAAATCCCGTATTACAGCTTATTACCATAGCTTAGTTTTTATCACGCCAATTTTGTACATAGAAGTCTTTCCATGATTTTAGGTTGATATCATAGCCTTGATCAGTTAGAACATAATTGATTATTTCGATTCTATGAACTTCAGCAAATTTAGTGTTACCCTCCACCGGTTGCTTCCAGATATCAATTATGTCGTTCTGTTGTACCTGTACTTTGTTGTATATTATTTCTTTCGATTTTTAGCAAACATTTTTCTTTCAATAAAATCAATGGATAAATTTGGAGGCGATAAATATCGATAAATAGATGGAATAATAACAATTACAGCAATTAATTGGAATTTCAATTTTTTGGTTTTTTCTTAACAATTTCTGTAAAAAATGTTCTGGAATGCATCCATTTTTGGAAATTGATGGAGCAGTACTAAACTGTTCATAAATGAACTGCTAATTATCTATAGTGATGATACTTCTAAGATCAAATCCTTACATAATAAGCCGCTTTTTTCGGTATATCTTCCTCGTTTATTTGCACTTTACCTGTTAAAATCAACTTTTCAGCTTGTCTGAAATCAGATTTTCACCAAAATCTCTATTAATTACTACTAGCATTTGTCATTTTTTCCGTAATAATACAAAGAACTCCCATATCTTGTAATTCATGGTAATCATCTGTAATTATATTGGCTAGGAAAACAAAAACAGATAACTAAAATTGCTATATAATTCAATTAATTTAAGCGTAAACTTAACCACTCATTTTTTTTTAAAAAAATGGGCAAACTAAGAGAAAAAGACTGAAGAAATACGAACCCTCGTCCTTGACCAACTGCTCTAGAAACAATCGAATCAAGTCGTCGACTGCTCACCTTGAAAACTTGTAATCGATAATCTTTCGGTAAGCCATCATCAGGTATCTCAACACCAATGTCTATTTTTGGTCGTCGATTATTCTTACAAAGTCCTCCGAATGTTTGGAATTCACGTAGCACATTGATGGTACCATAATCCGAAGTGTGATTTAAGCGTAACAATCGTGATATCGTTAAAGTCATCTGAAATACTTCCATCATTTGATGTTCAATATGCATGTAGTACCACAATTCTATTGTGTACGACTTCTCAATTGTAATTATTTTAGCATTTCAAATTAGGTTTATTCAGTAATTAAATTAGATATTTTAAGCTAAGGATCAATCTTGGATACACTGGTGATACTTGCTGTCTACATCCTGATTTTTTCATTATTAATCGTTCAGCATTATTTAATCGCATGCTTCGTAAAAAACAGACTGAATCGAAACTGTTGTAAAGTAGGGAATTTTGAAGTCGTTTAGGTCAAAAAAAAGAATCAAAATATCCCATGAATTTGTATTTACTTCGACCATTAATAAACTCAAAGATTTCATGAAATACGTGTAAAAGCTATCAACGTTGAAATCAGTAATTTGATTAACTAAATAAGTCATTTCCATAAAGATTTACCAAAGATTTCAGGAAAAAAAAATTCAAGTTAATACAGTAACTGAATCAAAAGTGGTGAATGAGGTACTTAAAATTAAAATTGACAAAACATGTGCAAATAAAAATAAACAGAAATATCTATTAACTTTATTCTGAAAAAAGAAACAAACAATATGCAAATGAGAGCAATTATAAAAAATTCCGAAGTTTTTAAAATTATAAATAGAAATCAAATTAATACAAAGTAATAACTAGTCATGAATGCAAATAAGGAAAGGAAAGAGATTTAATTAAATTAAATTATGTGTGAATGACATGAATGAAACACAGTAATAATAGAAAGAAATGGAAAGAGTACAAGTAATAATAAAACAGGATTAATTTAAAAAATGAAATCAAAATGGATAAATGACAAAGTTAATCGTAATTTGTTTTGCGATATTTCTCTTCCTCTCTCTCGTTATTTCTTGATTTTGACTGGACAAAATTATGCAATAGTTTGAAAGATTACCACACAAGTAACTGCAAAACGATTAACTGAACTAATACTGCCGAATTTTCGTCGTTAATATTGATGAATGCTAATGGTGGGCTTATATTCGAGATGCGATTGATGCGACACTTTTGAAAATAGCGTTGAAAATTTGTGGATTAACTTTTGCTTTGCTTTTCTCTTTTTTTTTTTTTTCGTTGCAGGTTGCAGAAGAGATGTTTGATAATTAGAAATAATGCAAGTTGCATTAGTAATTTATTTTACTGCCAAATAATTTTGCTGTGTCATTTTTCAAATTGATTTTAAAATAATTCTTATTTCTGGTATTTTTTTTCTCTCAATTTTAAATATGTTATATGATGATTAATATTTAAGTGATAATATCTTGTCAGTTATTCTTTCTCTTTATTTTGTTTCTTTAATGAAGGGCGTTAATATTGGAGCAAAGTAATCTTCGTTTTTTAAACAGCGATTTTTGTCAACGAAGTGTAACTGTCACCAGCAAAATAGTATTTACTATTGGTAAAAGCTAGCAGTTCGGGTATAATGGAATTGGTGAGCATTTTCTTGCTGCTAATTTATAATAAGCACAGTTAATGATTTTTTTTTTTTTTTTTGCTACAAAAGAAGTAGATTATTATCTAATGAATTCAGTTCTCCAAGAATTTTCTAATTAGATGTTTTTCAATCAATTAAGTAAATTAGTTGCTTTGCTCTACCAATTTAAGATGTCATAATGATTTAATATTATTTCATCTAGTTATGTATTTCCAAAAAAATTTTCAAACTTTTCATTGATCACTTTTTGGACAATTAAAAGAGTTGTAAAATAGCGCAAATACTTTCCAGTTTGTGCGTAAGTTAGATTCAGCAATTTTAATCAATACGAAAATTAATCGTGAAGATTCTCTTACAGATACCTTTATCACCTCAGCCATATCGGCCATGTTTATTACTGAAATGGTCATCGGCATGTATACTATTAGATTGTGCTGTTGATATGGATGCACTTTCATCATTTCTTCCAGCTGCGCTTTGTAAAAGGTTACATTCAATTTTTTCTGTTTAATTTACCATTTTATTTTATCCTTTTTTATATTTCGAAAAGTTTCTGGAAATCATTTATCATAAAAAAGTCTTTTTTTTTCGTTTTTTCTTTTTTTTTTGATTTTATCAAGCTGGAAAAAACATATGCAGAATTATTAGTTTTTCCTCAGCTAGCTAGTTGCGGTTTTAGTACTTGTTCCACTATGCAATTTCTTTTTTTCTTACATTGTTTTTTTTTTCTTTTTTTATTTTTGAGAACTTTATAGTTATTCTAATACGTTGTGTAGTATATTTATGATGTGGTTTTCAAATTTCAGTAAACTTTTTTCAAACTTACCAATGTATCCAAAAAATGCACCGAAGTATTGTCTTAAACGCCACGGGGAACATGTCCTTATTGATGGGCCGTTTGAGGTGCATCCAGCACAGGTAATTTTTTTTTTCTTTTTTGAATTTCAGTTGAATTATTCTTGGCTAAAACTACTTCCACATTATTCCTATCTTTTTATTCATTCATTTCATAGTTAATATCAATTTTTAGTTGGTTTAAGAAAGTTGCAATTCTTCAGATTTGCTCTACATCAATGGATTTTGTAGATGCGATATTGGTGTCGAATTGGATGTCTCTTCTTGCACTGCCGTTTTTTACGGAAGAAACAAAATTCACCGGTGTCGTTTATGCAACTGATCCAACACTTCAACTCGGAAGGTTATTAAAGTGATATTCGTTATATTCCTTATAATATTTTATTTAAATTTAAATTTGGGATAACGTTTCGATCTAATAGGATTATTGGGGTAAAACGAGAAAATTTCTTCAGAGCAATCATTATATATTTATATAAGTAATTTATTTAATTTTGCTAATTGCTTAATTTTTTCAAGATTAGTTATGGAAGAATTGTTGGATTTCTTCGATAGAGTGGATCGAGAGGAACAAGACTATTCGTGGAAGAAACCAGCATTGTTCATGTATGTTCTTTGCAAGTTTTCTCTGTTTTTCCGTATGTTTTGCATGCAATATCCTTGAATTATTCTTTAAAATTCCTGCCTAAAAAAAACTGTATGATAACTATTAATTTTATACATTACCTTATTAATTTTGTACATTGCCATTTGATATTGGAATTTAAGGGACAAAACGATAGTTTTGTCCCTTAAATCAATATAGTTCAGTTTTTAGGAGTTTCCCTAATGTTCCAACGAGTGATCCACGTGAATGGAGACCATTTTATAGTCGTGAACAAATGGAAAATTGCTTGGCAAAAGTGCAACGAGTGTCATTTCGAGAATCCATTGTAAGTTTAAGACATTTTCCAGTAAAATTCCATCTAGCAGTATTTTCAGACTATGATGATTTTAAAAGTTTTGTCATTTCTTAAGATTATGATGAAGTGTTGAGGGGAAATTATATATGACTAAATTATACTCAACAAATATGTTTAGAACATAAGAATTACGTAGCCATAATACAAATATGTAGAGTTATTTGGCCATGATACAAATATCTAGAGTTATTTGGTAGATTCTTCATACCCGCATATTGCGATATGCTGCAAATAATAATAAAATGACATTGTATGGAACATATGATATCTGTATTTCTGACATACGATTATACAAAAATGCTATGAAATTAATGTTACTAAACAGAGATTGGCAATTTGACCGAATTATAAGCTTTATTTGCTACATATTTTGGAAGTAATTAATTAGTATTTTGATTTTATAGAACATTCACGGTGCTGCAACGGTTGCGGCATATTCAAGTGGTTATTCAATAGGATCATGTAATTGGATTGTCCGTACCGAACATGAAAAGGTACATATTTCTATAAAATTGAATTCCATTTTATGTTATTTCAGTATCTTATTTTCAGGTCATTTATTTATTCATTTCTTTTAAGACTTATTGTATTCTATATATATATATATACATTTTTGGAGCGTGTGCAATTATTCTCCAAAAATTTATTTCACTGCTTTCTATATTTTTTCAACATATCGTTTTAAGAATTTGAACCGTTGAAAGTGACTTTTTTCTTCTAGTGAAATGATATTGCAAGCTTTTAATGTCTGACATAAATTATGACTATTTGATTAGAATTATAAGAATTTTCGTGCGTATTATGTATTACGACATGCATATTACGAAAATATTTTTGACACTTTCAGATAGGCTATTTGTCAGCAACATCCTCAAGAAATTCACATACAAAACCGGTTCAGTGGGATCAACTTCGTGGTTGTGATGCTCTTATACTGACTTCCATTTGTCGCTTTCCGGAACATAGTCCTGAAACATCAGTAAGAAGTTTTGTTACTTGCATGCGCAACGTTTTGTAGTTGATCAGTATTCCCAGTCAGATGTTTTCGTGCTATATTGTTTAGCTTTCAATCAGTAGTCTGTAAATTAACCATTCGGCTAGACGAAAAGAGAATTTAAGAGTGAAAAAAAATGATAAAAAGTATAATAAATATCTCTTACATGATCTATGAATTTATTGGTCAGGATTTGGGACCTCCATTGCTTGAATACTTAGTGTTTAGTCGTTCTTTATGCTACATAAAAAATATTCTTTATGGATTATTCATTAGGGTGATGACCACGAAAATTCTGATGACTAAACCGAAAAACCAAAGACTTTAAAGGAACTAGAAACCAAAGTAGCCTTGAAGATAAGTTTTGCAAAAAAATTGCAAAGTTTTGTGAGTGTTCGAAATAGCGTTTTTTCTTTTACCATTTATTCGAATTAATAAATGTTTCCAGATTAAAGTTTTACTTTTCAGTTGTGTTTACCATTTATTATATATTGATATTTCGAGGCAAATCATTGTCATAACACCACCGTTAGGCTTTAAATTTAAGGTATGCCATGCATTTGCTGTCATCGCTGATACACTTAAGAGAAATGGTTCTGTATTGATGCCAATTTGTCCAACGGGTATACTTTACGATTTGCTTGAAGTTATTTCGATGCAGTTAGATCAGGTAAAGAAACTTACATAATTGTATGATTCGTGTTTTAAAGTCATTTTGAAGTCTGTTTT